CGAAAAATACTTTTGGAAGATTCCAGAATCACGTGGAACCGAGATGTCATCTGATTTTTGGAAAGTCGTCGTTTTTCAAAAAAATGGACCACTTCCATATTTTGAATTTTTTCGTAGAAACCGTGCACTAGACGGACTGAAAGTAAGATATTCGTGATCAGCGTGAAAAACTGCATCGAATGTTGTATCTTTAAGCCAAAAATAGAATAGTGCTTTACGTTTGAATTTGGAGCGCCTTACAGAGATCCTTGAAAATGATATAGAAAGAAAAGAACTGAATTTTGACATTCTGAAAATTTTTGAAAACTACGTAGTTTTTTTCTAAAAATCAAATTTTTTCTACGAAAAAAAATCCAGAGTGAAAAAGATAACGATATGCATTTTGTATTGTGCCACATGTGCATTTTATAACGGTACGCTCTTTGTTTTAAAGTGAATTGTCGAAAATGTCTGAGAATGTATGTGAATTCAAGTCATTCTCTTTCGAATGATATGCTGCTCAAAAAAGAACGGATGAAGTTATAAACAAAACGAGAACAAGATCATTTTTTTCCACTTTTCGACCCGACTCTGGGAAGATATCGGCTTCTCAATGAAGAAAATAAAGTATAAAAAGAATCTAATTAGTAATTAGTTCGAAATGGGACGAAGTTTATTTGAATGAAAGATAATTTGGTGCATATGACAGGAATTTTCAATGTTTTAGCGAAACCTTTCTTAAAACTTTGTCAATACAACCGAAAAAATGTGTCAATCGTCTTATTTCTTTAATTTTGTGATACAACATAAAATAGAACTAAATTATCAATCTTTTATTGTTTTTATTCAATGTTAACCAAATTGCCTGTTTAGTATATGTATTACTCTTATTTTATTCCTATTCTATTGCAAGTCACTATTGCCTTCACATTATTTAGTAGTAAAAGTGCAAATAATCAAAATTTATTTAATCCAATTATTAATACGAGCTCGGGCATTTATGAAGGTCATTCAATAATTAATTATAATCGAACTGTTCATCGATTTCTTGGTATTCAATATGCCAAAGGCAAACGATTTCACAAAGCAATACCTATTCGTAAGAATAACTCAAATATAATTATTCAAGCAAATAAATTTGGTCCGGTTTGTAAATCAAGTGGTGATACTTGCATATCTTCCGATGGTTATTGCCGAGTGGAATATGGTATATTTACAAGTGTATCATTAACAGATGAAGATTGTTTATATTTAAATCTCTTTATACCAATTTCAACAGTGAATCAAACGTGGGCAAAACATCAACGAAAAGCTATATTATTATGGATACACGGCGGTTCAGGTCAAGTAGGATCGGGAAATTTATTCGATGGTTCTATATTTGCGTCAATTGGTGACGTTATTGTTGTTACATTTAATTTTCGCTTAAATTTATATGGTTTTTTGTCATCAGGTGATGATCGTCTCGAAGGAAATATTGGTCTTTATGATCAATTGTTAGTCTTAGATTGGTTATACGAGAATGCTGAGCAATTTGGTGGTGATCGTGAGCGCATTGCACTAGGTGGACATTCAGCAGGTAAGTCAATGATATATCTTAAGATTGAAATATTTGCCAATGTTTGTACTGTTTCAGGTGGTCCACATGCCCATTTTTTGGGCTATTCGCCATTGAGTCGTGGTCGTATTCGTCGTTTAATATTTCAGAGTGGTACATCATTCAATGTATGGTCACATATTCATCCAGATATGGCTATTGAACGTTTTCAAGTTGTTGCTATTGATAATGGATGTTATTATACGCAAAATGATAAATTGTTAGATTTTCATCGATCATTAGACTGTTTAAGTAAAAAAGATTTTCGTTCATTAACTGAACAAGAACATTATTCTTATATGAGTGCAAATCATACAAATGTTGTTCATCAATATCCATTTTTAATGTCAAATCAAAATGAAACATATTTATTAGATAATGTGAATTATGCAAAACTTGATATATTAATGGGATCAGTAGCCGATGAGGGTTAGTTTTATTATAAGGTTGAAATAATTATGTGAAATATATATAGATATATATTTGTGTATTGTTTGTTTCTATTAAGGTCTTCATATAGCTGTTGTTCCACTTCTTATGCAACATGAAAATCAAGAGCACTATACGATGAATACCAGTATAGTCGATGTAGCATTAAAATTTCTGGCCAATATGAAACCAGATTTGACTTGCCTATATGATGATGCTTTAAAACTATACAATATTAATGATAATCTTTGTATGCAATCAACATCATCTACAAACGAGTGTCAATGTTCATTATATCTAAATTATTCAAAATTAGTTAGTGACATATTATTTTATAATGATTATTATCGTTATGTTCATGAACGTTTGAAAAAATCGTCTAAAAAAAAAGAAACTATGAATATTGGCAAAACTTATCTATACAGTTATACTTATCATACATCACAAGGACCTCCTTCATCATGCAATTTATCGGTACACCAAAAAGGTTTGACCGGACATTTTGCTGAATTAGAATACACATGGGGTATACCATTATTTGAAAAAAACCAAACATTAGTTACAATCGATAGATATGAGCCAGTTCCACAAACACCAACTTATAATGCTGATGAAATAAAATTTAGTGAGCAATTAATTCGTTATTGGTCTAGTTTTATTCAATTTGGCGATCCAAATCAAGTGAAATCAGCTGATAGTCCCTATTGGGCTGAGTCGACAGAAAATAATCTAATGGTGATGAATTTATATCCTAGACAATTGTATTCATCCCACATTAGTGAACCAAAAAGTGTGGTATTTTGGAACAATACATGTTCTTTACCGTCGACAAAGAACATGGATAAGAAAGTGTTTGATCACGAAGCATCATATCTTATGTTGCCAGTTATCCTTTTAACTATAGCTCTTACTGTTACTGCCGGCGTTCTTTTTGATCACTATTTTCTATGAACATTATAGTATTTTGTTATATATTTTCATTTATGCATAGTTTCATGTCGAAATTTCAGCTTATTTGATGCGTCCGACTATTAAGTAGGTTAGAAGGTAAAACTTTGTGTATACTTATATCAAAAATATGCAGTAAAGAGTAAATGACTATGTTTATTGAACTGGATTACTCTCCTCCCATGATATACATTCTTTTCTTTTTTTAATCTTCTACAAGAATCGAACATATAGACTAAATTTGTACATAGAAGATCATGTATTTTTATATTTTGATCATTCATTTCTTTTTATCTGACAGTCTTAGTTAATGGACAACTCTTTTCTGCAAAAAGTGCAAAAAATTGAAGTACATATTTAAAGTTAGATGGAAGACGAAAGAGAATTGCATTAAATAATAATTAATGCTGGAATGCATCACAAAATATGTTAATACTAATTCAGAAATAGGACAAGAAGATCGAATGCCACTTCAGAGTTTGAAATAGTGATTTATTTGTTTTTGAATTGGATAAATGATCCAAGTATCCGCTTTAAAACGGGAATCATTCAGACTAGGAATGCACTAATTTTAAATGGATATTTATACAGATCACTATTTCTGAAATCCAATCTCGACCAAGTTTTGGTACAAAATAAATTCAGTTTCATTCTCTGTATGTGTTAATGAAACTGAAGTTTTAAAGCAACTGAAAAGTGGATTGAAATCAGTGAGAATCAGTAAAAGTCTTTGGTTTTATGCAAAGCCGACTAATTCTAACTAGTTCCAACATACTTTTCGACTGATTAAGACTTCAATCCCACTAGCATGGAATGAAAGTGAATTTGTCTCCTATCAAAACTTGGTCGAGATAAAGTCATCAAAAAGCATCAGCAACAGAATTAATTTTAATCAAAATAGCACAGCATTGAGGTTACATAATGAAAAAATATTTTATTTTTTAGATAAATATGACATACTATCGAAATAACATCTAAAAATTATCTTAAATTACTATCACTATCATGTAACTCTGCCGCTCTTCTTTCCACGTTAATAATCATCTGTGTTGACTATTAACATTTAATGAAATGCAGCTATGTTATGAGTAACAATAAATAACTCTCAAAAATCTGAGATCCTTGTCAGAAAAAAATGCAAAAGTTAGTTAAGAAACGAGTTTTAAATAGTTCTCGGCATGAGTACAGTCATTCTCTAAAGATTAAAGATTACCTATTGTACAGTCACGGGAATACATTAAAAATGAGTACATACTAACGTAAAAAAACATAGAGAGGCGAGTTTGATAAAGTAAGAACTGTCTTTTACGTGTATTCCGCGGTTAATATACATTAGAATTATTCTTCAAAAGTATAATCATCAAACCTATGGTAACAAACGAGACATGAAAAAGATTTTATTCTAACTTTTTATCCAGCAATCCGTTTGTAGTAGGTGATACTAGAAATAGTAAAAATAAATTTTTTCTAAGTGTCACTTCATAATCTGGTACATCTGAGTTTCATTATCAGCTACTATGATTGATTTTATCATAAACACTTTGGCGATGCGAAAAATAATCCAACAAATAAGTATCCAGAAAACCATTTTTTTTACAAATATATAATCAATTACATGTACATTTAATGTCTTTTGTTTCTTTTGATGTGTAATTAAACATTCAATTGATTTGTCTAAATCATTGCTATTTCTATTTAATAATATATTTTCTAATTGTTGTATTTTTGATACGAATGTCTGCAATATTGAATCTGTGTTAGCTAACATTTGATTAATTTGTTTTTCTTGTTGAGTTAATTGAATTTTCTGATCTTTAAGTTTAATTTTCATAATATAGTTAAAGCAAAACAGAGTTACGCATAACAAAAGAAGAATAACAATAACGGTTAAAGCAGCATACGTTCGTGTTTTTAAGATGTTTAAGAGCCTTTGATTTTCGTTTTCTAAATCTTGTATAACAAATTGTTTGTTTTCGAATTTATTATCAAATGTTTGCAATTCAGCATTCTCGTTGGCCATTTGTTAAAAGATAGTTATTTCTCGAGAAAAAAATTGATTTCAGTTTTATCTCATAATGGAAGTATGTTCATAATTCTACGCGCTTCGTCCTTTTCTCAAACTCATTTATTTTAGACGTAAATTTCATACTAAATATTTTCTTTCGTATTTTTGACTTTGACGTTTTTTTCAATTTGTTACTTTTACATTTTTACTATATGTCACATTTCGGTCACATATATATATAATTTTTGTTGATATGTCAAAGAAACGAAAGAAAAAACACAAAATATTTTCTCTAACCATTAGTCAAATAAAACTTATGGTTTATTCTCTTGATACAACTTTTTCGTTTTGATATGCTTGTGGCGTTCTCTTTTACCATCGATATTGCAACACAAAGTGTTTCACTAAATTGAACTTTATTTTTGTATAATTATTTACATTTACTTCAATTCTTCGAGTGTTCGTTGTGATTTTATATTCTTCGGTTTAAAGTCTTGTGACATTTAACAGTAACAGATGGTAACCGAATCGGGTAGCTTAGCAGTCATAGCACTCCCGAGAGAATCGCCCCAATTGTCTTGCGAGTTACGACTCCGTATTAACACTGGAAGTAGATTTCGGTGAAATTAAGAAAAGTCTAAAAGAGTTTGGGCTCATGGCCTATCGATCAAATTTTATGGCCGTTTTACTGCATTTTCGACCCATAGCGACGTATTTTCGAAAAAGTCGACTTAAAGAATTTCGATCTAAAGTTTTGCCTGTAGATAGACCTAATTGTCCTTAGAATATCCTAAAATCAACAGAAACGAATGTGTTTTTCGCAAGATATTGAATTTATAACCCAACCAATATGCCCTTCCTGCGGCAAATGGATATCTTTTGGATATTCAATATGTTGAGAAAGACACGTTTGTTTCTGTTGAAAATTTTAGAATATTCTAAGGACAATTGGGTCTATCTACAGGCAAAACTTTAGGTAGAATTTTTTTAATTCGACTTTTTCGCAAATACGTGCTATGGGTCGAAAATTCAGTAAAACGGCCATAAAATTTGACCAATAGTCCATGGGCCCAAATACTCTTAGGCATTTGTTAGTCTCACCAAGATCTACTTTCAATCTTAATACGGACTCGTAACTCGCGAGACAATTAGGACGATCTCCTCGTCAGAACGTTGATGTTATTCATTATGTTCATTATCTTCAATTGAACATATTAAGTATATTGGTCTCATCCTGGACTCTATGGGCTCGTTGGCATTAGTCTTTCTGCAGCCACAGAAACCTCGAGACAGCTAATATAGCTAACTAGTTTTACGTTTTCAATAGGATGAGACAAAAGAAGCCTGAGATCGAAGATAATCCTATTCACCACATTTATATCCTGTTGATATTACCTATAAAATGTTGTCATTTGACAAATGAAAGAGAAACTCTTTCGTTCTTATCTATGGTTTCACCTATGTGTTTTATCAACTATAAGTCAAATATTATGAAATAGCATTTTTACTGCTTCTAAATTTTGCACGTATACAAAATAATTAACTGTGTACTTACGATGACGGCGAGTAATATTTTTGAAAATTTTACATTCTATCTGGCACCGTCAACAGAAAAAAATAATGAAAATATAAAACAATTGATTACCGATTTTGGCGGCAAAATTGTATCGACTTTGAACTCTCAATGTACGCATATAGTTAGTAACACATTAGACACTGAACATGAGCGAACTGTATCAGTCATCAATGAACAATGGATCTACGATAAAACAAAAATAACAAATAAACGTAAAGAAAATGATAATAGTGATGAATTGACCGGTAAAAAACATAAAAATGAAGTTGAAAATACAAATCCAGTTACTACTAAGGGTTCACGTCATTATGATATTATTTATTCTTGTCGTTATGAAGATGATGCTAATGTATATGCAATTGAACGTAATGGAAATGAAAAAGCTTTAAAACATTTACGTCTTGTATTAGATGGACAAGAGGAAAATGGTGATGATGAATCAATTGCAATTTTCCTAACAAAAGAAGATGAATCATCAATTGAAGAATCACAAGTTGAACAGTGGTCGTTAAGTAAAGGAAAAGAATTTCGTGAAACATATGTTAGTGAAGATGATGAGGGTACAATTAATTTTCACGTATTAGAAGGTAAAATTCCAGAAAACCATGGAAAAATATTTACTGGTGGTAATGAGGAAGAAGAGGAAGAGGAATATGATGAAAATGATTCAAGTTATCTTGTTATTGATCAGTTAGTTGAACTTGTTCAGCCATGGGAGTAGAACTATTCGTTTTAAGAACTGTATGTGTTTTCTCGAGATACTGTATACTGTACTTATCAGAGATCGTGTGGACATTTCGTACATTATAAACCACGTATGAATACAAAGAGCGCATAACCTTATCGCAATAAATATGATTTATATATTTTTATAAAATGAGACTGTGAGTAAGAGGTGACTTTCCAAGATATATAGATGTCTAACTGGCATAAAGCATAAGAAAATAATTAAAATACCCCTTGAATAACTACGTAACACGACATTTCCGCGAACGACGTTACCGCGAGACATTACCGCGAAGACTTGTTTATTGGAAAAGAAGAATAAATGAGCTTGGTTTTGTATTTTGCACATCATGTTTTCAAACTTGAGTGAAGTTATGCGGTGAATAGTCATTATGTGACACAGTTACAGATATACAGTTTCATTACTTATTGTGTCTGACCGGTTTGCTCTTCGGTACACGATAAGCTGAAGCTTACTGTTTATCAGCATTGGTTTGTATATAATCACGATTTTATAGCAGTGCAGAAGCCGTGACACGACATTATCGCAAACAGGATCCCGACTCTTCCACGAATTTTTCATAGTACACATTTGGATATTTTTGGCAGTGTGTCGCGGGAGGTGGGGGTGTGGGCAGTGTGAGAGTGAGTTTGAAGTAGTTTCACAGAGAATATATTTGGATGATGCGAACCTGTATGTCTGTAACTGTATCACAGAATGAATATTCACCACGGAAATTCACTCAGGTTTCAAAACATGATGTACGAAATACAAAACCATTCTCATTTATTCTACTTTTCTAATGAACAATTCTTCGCGGTAATTTTATTAGCGGAAATGTCGGTGTATCAATAACTACATTATGCGTCGGTGGTAAATTTTTAATTATCATGACGCCATTACAAGGCATTTTTTATTTCCAGCGTAATGGCGCAGCAGTGATTCCAGTGGAGATCAGCCGATACGGAGTGGCACAGCGAGCACCCACATGGACATTGGGTGAAAAATTGACAGTGCACTTTCTAAGATTCAAATAGTCGCAAGTATACTTTGAAACACGGACTATTTAACAGCATTAAAATTCTTCTTCCAGGTGCCACAATTAATCGGAAAACGCGAAGTCAAAATTTTACCGAAAAACTTAGTGGTGCGGCAACAGAAAACTTTATTATCAAAACCAGAAAATATTTTCTAGAAAATCACAGATATTCTAAAATTAGATCAGTCAGACTATCGATTCATAAAATAGATTTTTTTGTTTGGATACTTTGGCAGAGAGAGAATAATTTTTTATTTAAGCTAAGAGTTTTCCGAAGACACGTGTGCAGTATAATGAGCTTCCCATTTTTTCCCAATCTCCGAATTCGATGAAAATTTTACAAAATGTTCATCGCCTAATAGTACATATATAGTGTTAGCTCAAAATAGCCCAAATGATTCTGGACTGGATCATAGGATTTTCAAAAAAACCCTGGTTTTTGTAGAAAAGTCCATTATTCTCGAACCAGGAGCGGTTTTACATAAAGGTAATTATATATTTGAAATCAACACATAAAACTGTATCGAATGATGTTCATACAAAGTACTTCTGAATAAAAAATGTTTCAACCCAATGTAATGTTACGGTTTTAGCGTATGGACGGACATAGCAATTTTGACTTGACACATGGATATGTGCTAGAAAAGTGGTATAAAAGTCTCTAAACACTCTTTTTATAGGTTTTCGTATGTGTTCTTTTCAATTGCGTAGTTTTCAAACTTTCAAAGTATATTAATACAGGCTTTTGAGAGATTCAGACTATGGAAAACTAGTACGGACGTTGAAAGCTTGGAAACCACGTCATTGAAAAGAACACATATGAAAACCTATAAAAAGAGTGTTTAGAGGCTTCCATACCACTTTTCTAGTACATATCCACGTACCTAGCTAAATGTGCCCACTGTGAATGGCTTATTACTATAAGAAAAGTTTTTCTTTCATCAGAACTTCAAATTATTTTTTCATTCCAGCGAACTTTCATTAAGAACCAGAATTTTTTACAGCGTGATTGCAAATTGTATTTTTTCTAAATTTAGGCAATTTTAAGGTGAATTAGCAGTGTTTCATTTACAGAGTTAGCCAAATTATTTTTGATTATCATTTATCATTTTATTTTGTTCGAATGAATGATCATTTATAGGTAGATACGAGTAAAAAAAATTTATTTTGGCGTTGAAATACTGAACGTCACACTTTTTATCTGAGATATTCGGAAACACTAAAAAGCTTTAAATTATGTAAATAAAATAAATTCTAAAAAATTAAACATAAGTTATTTCAATTTATAAATCAGATAAAACTAAAAATTTTCTATGTAAAAAATAAATTTTCCTATTGCTTGATTGAACTCATAGACGGTTCATTATCGGTTAAAACAATATCTATTGTATATTATAAATTATATTCTTTTAAAAAATTTAATACAGTTGATTTCCATAATTCTGGATATTTATCATATATTGCAGTATGTAATGCTCCTTCAGCAAACCAAATTTTTTTAGGATTACGAGCTTCATTATATAATAATTCAGAATGTTGACAAGGAATTGTACGATCTGACGTACCATGCATTAATAATATTGGTCGAGGAGAAATTTCATGTATAACTTGAATAGGATTTAAATGATGATGATTTATACTATGTAATAAGAATGATGATGTTTTAGAAATTGATAAACCTAAACGAATATTTACAATAAATACAATTAATATAGAAAATAAACGTTGTAATGAATTTAATATTAAAGATAATGGATATAGATTATGTCCTAAAAATTCATCTAATATTGTTGTCATAAGTAATTCTTTTGAACTATATGGATTTTCAGCAATAACAGCATCAATTAATGGATTTGAAACATATTTTGGTCCACAATAGGCTGCAGCAATAATTGATGCAGATGCTCCTTGTGATGTACTTAATACAACACATTTATTATAATTTAATTTATATTTAATATAATAAGCTGCATTAATAACATCAATAGCTTCTCTAGATGCCCATCCAATACCCATTCCATGACTATCTGATATACCATGTTCTCTACAATCAATTAACAATACTGCATAACCTGATGAATGAAATATTGGTAAATGACGCATAAAATTTCGTCTATCACGACCAGCACCATGAACTGCTAATATACAAGTAGATGTTTTTATATCATTATTATTTGAATTGGGTAATACAAACCATGCACGTAATATATGAGATTTATGTTTTAAATTTAAATTAGTTAAATGATTATCATTTGCATCTTCTAATGATGATAATACTGGCCATTTATCGAGACAATCAATTTCAACTTCAGTAAAATCAATATTAAAATCAATTTTTGGATTAGTAATTTTACTACCATAAAATTGTGCTGCACTTCCACTGATTTTTACTGGTAATCCATTTTTTGGATTACGTGTTGATATATGCCATTTAGGATGTAAAAATAGATATGATATATATTGAACAACGATTATTATCGGTAATAGAAATGATAATATTATTATTAACAATGAAAAGTGAAAATAATAAAATAACCATGGAATAAAAATAAATATACACAATAATACAAGAAATTTCATTGTTTATGAATAAATATTAAAAGAACTGACGATACTATTTGAAAATAAATATTTTAACTCAAACACTATAAATCTGATTGTATATTAAGAAATTACTTAACATAATTTCAAGATTAACAAGGGGAACTCATGATGTAATATAAATTGACTTTGTACGATATACAAATCACGCAGGACACGTATGACCGTATATTGTTTTGAAATAATCACATGGACTTGTAGAAGTTAGATTAGCTTAACTATTAAAGTAAATTTTTCAAAACATTCTTTTTCTGTATATTTTAATTCATGCTGTCGTTTAGTTTTTAAATAGAATTTCTTTTTCTGTTCATATTTCGAAATATGTAGAAAATAAAAAGCAAATGTGTCCTTTTATATTCATAATAAAAAAGGAATTTTTTTTTGTCGCCCATATGTTAACCAAACATTATATCAAGTGACTTCCAAGGCCAAAGAAAAGCTAAGATAAATAATGAAGGAAAATAGAAACAAACTTCACGTGGTGACGTAAAAGAGGATATAAAATGAAAAAGATCAAACTGCAGCTTGATTTTTATTGTTTTTCTTTAGAAGAATGTGTTTAAAACGTGAAAAAGGAAAACTTGGTTCACGTGCAATAGAAAAACATCACTAAATTACTACTCATTTTAAAATAGCATGGAGAAAACTTTGTTGAACAATCTTGTATAGATCAGAAAGAAAACTGTAAGGTTCTTTTTATCACTTTATAGAAGATACTGGAAAAAATCGAATTCTTAAAAGATCAAAAAATTCTGTCTCAAGATATTGTAACTGACGTTTCTACTAACGATAAATTCACGATCTTTTAGTCATAGATACATTTTCCTGAGTCTTCGAAATCTTTAGATCATAGTCCAAATTATTCTCTACCAATTTGTGTAAATTGCCATCAAACAACAGATGTGAAATAAAATTCCAATTTTAATGAAGGCGCAGACCTTTTGTTGATCGCGGAAACATCAATAATTATTATGAAAATGTTGAATGAAATTTCTAGTTGAATTTGTCCCGTAGAAAGAGCTATAAAGCATCTGTTTCGAACCAAGTTTTGCCTTTTCCTGGAAGTGGCGTTCTTTTTTTTAGAATATACCGCATATACAATATGCCAATTAAGCATTCACACATAGGCGACAAAATTTTTTCCAAGACTATTATCTCCCACTACATTTTTTACTATCGGGTAGCCTTGAGTCTGGACTACATTTTTAAATATTTGCCCATTTTATGAATAAAGGAAATAAAACTTTTAAACTTTTTTATTTTTCGAAACCAAATAAGTATTCATACACTTGTTCTTCTCTATCTGTTTTTGATACTTCTTAAACAGATAAACTCTCTTAAAGCACATTATTCAACAGTGCAAAGTCTCTGCAACACAAGAAGAAAAGTTAGTTTCGAAAAAGAATCTTCATATGGTCTGAAAATTTAACATTAAAACGTCGGAATCAACGCTCTTTGATCTTAAAGTTTGAATAATGTCATTTCCAAATTACAAAGAGCATGAAAAACAGCTTCTACTGCTATTCTGCGCTGTGCTTCGTAGGCAATTGCCCATAAAACACAGCGGAGAACGCAAGAGAAAAATATCCTGGCTACGCCACTGCAATGTGTATATTCGTCATTCTTCCTTTCAAACCTAGGGAGAGAAAAAGTGAAAAATGAAGAAAAAAACCCAAACGCTTCATGCAATTTTGCTTCATAATAGAAAAATCCCGTCCAACGGTTGTAATTTCACCACTTTCCTCTTCCATAAGAATATTCCAGGCAAGGTAAGTATAAAACCTCTACCCAACGCTTTATATAAATCGCTTTATCTTATCCCGATATACTACATAATAACAGTAAGTGTTATCTTGGAAATATAATTTATCGTCAACAGAAAAGCTCATTTTTTTAGAAAGCACAACGCGTGGGTATTGAAGGCAATGCTTGTCCGAACGTTTTATCTTACATATTTATATATTCTAGATAAGGTTATGCATTATACCATATAGATAATAAACATCTTTTCTTCAATTGATCTTGTCAAGCTAAAAAACGTAAGTGTTTCAATATTTGATAGGCTTTAGTTAAAAAGACAATACGTTAAATCGCTTTTGCAAACAGTTGATGAACCTCCTTTTCCACACTTGAGACACCGAAGTGTTGTTTTGTTTTGTTGTGATATCATCAAGTTTTTTTGATAATCTGCCATTAGTGTGGACAAAGTGTCTAAAGACGAATTGACGAATCGCAATTTTTGGGCGTAAAAATGATGCCACAATTCGCATTTTACTATTGTTTTGCAAATTCGCAGCGAATTCGTAATTCAATGCGAACTGATGCGAACTAACAAAAATGATCAAAAACGAACCAAAAAATTGCCTCTTTTCTTCCTTTTGCCAATTCGACGAATTCGTAAGAAAGAAATTTCCGGTACCTACGAATTCGTAAATCGAATTGGTCGACCATCGACGAATTCGTGAAATGATCATTTTGGTCCCCAAGAATTCGT